ATCAGTATTAAATGTACTGCATCTTTTTTATTTTGACAAAAATTTGCGTTAAATAACTTTAATAGGGATGATAGAATTACTGAGTCTAAAGAGACTTGTGCTACCTTATGACACAGCTCAGTCAGGGAAATAACAGGTGCTTTAATTTCCTTGATTGAAAATTCTCCTCCTCTCCTATACTAGGCAAACTCCCACACATCTTTCCAAATTAAGTGGCACTTCTCTGAAATCCTTATTGCTTCCTGAGTACCATGTCTTGTTGGGTTGAGGACTGAAACATGTATTGCAGTTTCCTGCTTTTCCACATGGATTCACAATCTTGTCTATCTTAAAATCTAACATTGTATTCTTTTAAGTATATGTCTATTTGAAAGTGTTTATTACACAAAATCAAATTTGCCATGCATGTTGCTGAGCAAAAGGGTGACGAGATGCATCATAAAGTGGATACAATGTATTATTTCTAGTTATTTTTAGCTTGAGGGTTCTTTCCTCAAACATTCATGTAACAAAGAGTAACAAACAGCATTTGCTAAACAATAGGTATTGAGTAGATAGATAAATTAAAGGTGAAATATTTTCATTGTAAATTTTGTGTAATACATATTTGTATGAGCATGTAGTCTATACTTACTTGGCACAATTGAGCGTAATATGGTTATGTACATTCATAGGAGAAAATTACTGTTAATAAGCATGCATAATAGATACTCTGAACAGACATTTGTAACCTACGCTTTTGACATCGCAGAAAAAATATCATTTTTTCTTTACATTCAAAGCCTCCTCTGCATGAATAACTTTTAAATTCACTGATAAAATTTTAGCCATTGTTAAGAAGGTTAATTCAGCATTTTGTAGAATTATGCCATAATGTTTCTGATTTACAAAGATGAAATACATACGTTATGATTCCAAGTGCGTTGTGCCCTTTGAGATACATACAACTGATATTTTCTAATGAATGTTAAGGAAAAAAATCGCTCTTAGAATTAATCTTATCATCAGTATTAGTTTTGGAAATGCAAACTAAATCAACTTGCTTCCTTTCCCTAGAAGTGCTGCCACTGTTGTGACACTGTGTTTCATTTTGTAACCCATCTGCTACTTAGGCCAGATATGCATTTTCTGGATGCAATCTGTTGGTTTCCAATGGTTTACTACATGGTGGGCTCTATTGACAAGTAGGTGACAATATTTTTGATGCATAAGTAGTGTAGCGTCCTGTGGTTTGTCACGTGCCGTGCCTTGCTGCTGCATGATGGGTGTCGTTTGTTGTGTCAGTTTTTAAAATAAACTATTGCGTGCATGTAGAGCTTGTGTGACTCACGCTGCATTTCCTAAGCAGTACTCTGTTGTTGAACTAAAGCAAGTTTAGTTGCATGTCCCTCTTGTCAGCTGTCCTCAGTTTCCACAGCTATTTCGATTCTGCGTCTTCCAAATCACCATATTGCTCTTGTTGTAGTGGCCCGAATGCCTTGATCTCATCCGCATAGCTTGTGTGGAAATCTCCAAAATATTTTTAGAACTGCTAATTTTAGCTTAGATTTTAAAATAGGAACATCTTTTTTTTTTTCTGGTGCTCTGAACATCTTTTTTTGGTACTACCACTGAGCCACATCCCCGGCCACTAGAAGGAACATCTTAACAACTTGTTCTAGTCACATATCTGAAATCAAAACTTTAAAAATATTGTTAATCAAAGTATCATGTGTCGTGCATTAGTATGAAGACATTCCAACATAGGAATCGTGGAGAAAATAATATGTAAGAAGTAAAAGAAGTAAAAGAACAGAGAACTAAAGTATCTGAATCATACTATGTACTTTATTTTCCATTTTTAAAATGCTAACATCTATAGATTGAGAACTTTAGTGCTAACATACTTGCCTGTAAGTGTTGAAATAATCTATAAAATGAGTGTATTAATTATATGGATATATTAAAAGTCAATCAGATTAAATATACTTAGTATCCATTCTGCATTAGCGTAATTGACATCTTTACTTATAACACCAGCTAAATAACTAAAATACAGATTACTAAAATGACAATTTAAATCATACATATATTTTATTACCTGTAATGTAGCTTTGAGACAATAGTGTTCTATTAAAAATTCATGAGAAAAACATTGAAAGCATAAAAGAACAGTCTGTATTTTTTGGATTTTTTTTTAGTCTTTTTTTTTTTTTTTTTTTCTTGGTGGAACTGGAGATTGAACTCAGACCCTTGTGCTTGCCAGGGAAGCACTTATTCTACTGAGCCATCTCCCCGGCCCCCATTCTGTCTTTTTGGATATAAACTGTGAAGTAAAATTTTCTTAGAGAAAATATTAATGTTAAAGAAAATGAGACCTGCAAGCATTAACTTCTTAGGGAAGAAAATGCAACAGGATTGACTACAAATGGACAATTATTGAAGTCAGGTCATGGAACATAGTTCTGTAGCTTAGTATATTATTCTCTTTTGCACATGTTTGAAACTTTCTGTATTTCAGAAACTCCTTTGAATGCATTAAATCAGTTAAGGATGCTTCCTCGTGCACTTAAATTCTAGTCTCTGAAAAGGGGGGTGGGAAGAAGAAAGAAAGAAAAAAAGAAAGGAAGGAAGGAGGAAAGAAAGAAAGGAAAGAAAGAAAGAAAGAAAGAAAGAAAGAAAGAAAGAAAGAAAGAAAGAAAGAAAGAAAGAAAGAAAAAGAAAGAAAGAGAGAGAAACAAAGAAAGACAGGAGGGAGGCTGTCCCAGGGTTTGCCTTATTGTAAAGTTGCTCTTTTCAGTCACACGAATGCTCCTTGGCTGCCACCTGGTGGCCCAACTATGTAAAGCGACACATTGAAGAAAGAAAAACATGTAAATGGACTAGAGAAGTTGGACACAAAATAGTTAGTCTGTTAAAAAGGAAAAGTCTAAAATTAAATATTAAATAAAGAGGAAATGTTGATTTAAAATTAAAATACAAAGAGCAAGTGAGCTTCTACACCTTCCCAGAATGTCATTGAAGTCTTATATATTGTCTGCTGATTTAAATGCAAAGTTAATGATAGTCACTATTTTCCGTTGTTATGAATAAAATACAACAACCAGAGTTTTTGAGGATGGAATTACATGACACGTGGATCAGTGTAGGTCTCCGCAATCTAACACAGGTATCTTACAGTGAAACATTTGTCAAGCATTAACTTCAGCTTATTAATGATAAAGCCTTCATCTTTTTCTATCTTAACATCTAACTGTATATCTTTATCCAACCAAACTTAACTTCTAGTACTTTATCTTTTCCCTTTTCCTAAATAATTATAATTGAGTTTGTTTTATTAATGGAAAAATATTTTGAAAGCTGAAATATAACGTGCAATTTAAAATATCAAGTGTTTTGAAAGCAAAATGACTTAGTTATCATCTTTGTGCTCCAAGAAGGGCCATATCACAGTCTTTTGGGGGTGGATTCACCTCGGGGTCCTGCCCAGGCTAGCTAAACAAATGCTCTACTACTGGCCTATCTCATCCACCCCTGAATAACTCCTTTCAGATACATTTTCATAGATGGGAGAACAATTATGATGAATTTCCTAACTAAAAGGAAGACTCCAGTATCCCTAGAGCTTAAGCTGGATGACTATCATATTGATTGGGTGTTATGGTCCCGGCCCCTCATACCATAGGAAATTTATTTGGAATAACATTCTGTTTCCACAGTTTTAGCCATAAAATCTCTGCCACAGAACACTGCTCCTGATTCAAGTGAAATATTTTTTCTGGACTACTCCTGGGGATCTTGGACTCAGAGCTTTGGTAATAATCTCTCATGTAATAACAGAGTAAGAAATCCTGCCTCCCACCTTGCTATAAAAGGAAAACAATCCTCTTTAAAGTGATATGGCTAATTTCAACCAGATAACTTGGAAAAGATCCTCAGGGACCTGGCTCTAAGAATCTAAGAAAAACTGGTTACTTAAATTTTATTCTTCCTATTTACAATAGGAAGATGGTGAGATAAGTTGGTCTATCTCTTCTTATCTACCCTTAGTCAACTCTGCGGAATACTGCTTCTTTAAGATTCATCTCTCTTAACTATTCAGTTCTATTTTTTTCCAGCTGGATAAAGCAGTCAGTGAGGATAAGAGTTTCCCTGTTTTCAGCTTTAAGGGTAAACACCTTTTCTTTGGTTCACTGGAGAAGCGTTAAGGTATTTTATCAGAGTTAGGAGAGAAGACCTAGGTATTTGTGTTTTAATTTTGTAATTACCTCATACAGCAAAAGAAACTTGCTTAATCACTTGTCTAAAAACTTTCATGGGGTAATTAGTCAGGGTAATCACAGTAGATATTTGTACAATTTCCAGAGTTTTAGAACCGTAGAAAGAACCTCTCCCTCCCACAGCTCTTCTATGAGGAAATAGTAACTAGGGCACGGTGGTGCGTGCCTGTAATCTCAGCTACTCAGGATGCTAAGGCAGAAAGACAGAGAGTTCAAGCCAAGTCTGGGCCGTTTAGTGAGACCCTGTGTCCAATAAATGCAAAAATAAGTAAAATAAAGGAAATAATAAAGATTTTAAAATAAACATTTCATAATTTTGCATTTCTCCATTAGGGTTGACAATGTAAATTGAGAGTATCCAACTCTACTCTTACTAAAAGTACCATAGAAATAAAAAAGTAAGTTTGTGTGATATTAACTGTAAAATCATAATTTCAACATACTCTTATTGCAAAGTGGGTCTTTCTAAGCATTGCATATATAGTTAATAAATATAATGAAATAAACATCCTTAACATAGTTGCTCTGAAACAGTATCTAATAAAATCTAAAGTTCCCTAAAACTATATTCTATCAGTAGATACCATTATTTCAATATTCGCATTCCTGTCTACCATTGCACACACTGCTTAAGCACAGGTAAAGACAGTGTATTAGCAGAGCAACAAGCAGTTTTGAGCAATAATTCTAACAAGGTGGTTTACTTAAACTCTGTTTTTTTCCTGTTGATTTTTATCAAAGCCTAGATGATTTGCTCAGGTGTGGAGTGACCTTCGCCGCCAACATGGTGGTGGTGGACAAAGAGAGCACCATGAGTGCTGAGGAGGACTACATGGCGGACGCCAAAACCATCGTCAACGTGCAGACTCTCTTCAGGTAGGTCTGGGAGAAACACTGCCACTGCCCTTGTGCTACCTGCACATGGGTAAGAGTCTCGGATCTGACTTGTGTCAGAGGAAGTCAAAGGAAGGAGCCTAGGGCCTTTATAGGGACTTCTTATTCTTTCATTCATTCACTTGATCGTAAGTCATTTGATCTCAAAATACGTACACATTTTTGTGACTTACACAATGTAAAATGAAATGTTTAACAGCAAAGCAATGGATTCTTTTGAGTAGATTTATATGTTATCTTCCTTAGAGAGTTTTCAACCAAATTCAAAAATTGTATATAGCAGCCGCACATTTGGATTTTGTTTGAATCTTGATTTCATGCCTGGCAGCAGCTCAAGTACGTAAGTAACTAAGATAAAGTGTTGCAAAACTATAACTAGGTAAGTTATCCAGCTTAAAAGCAAATTCCTTACCCAGTGACTTTTATAGGCTTCATTAACTTAACTCATGAGATAGTTGCATTAAATCCACTTAGATATAAATGGTTCTGTGAACAGTCCTGAACCTACAATGGAACTTGCTGTGAGCAAAACCCAAATCATTTGTAAACTGATTCATCTATGTCACTTGGAATGATTCTTTTCAGAATCATCTGAAAATTTAAATATCAGATCCCCTTTTTTGGTTTTCTGAGTGTATTTGCAACAGCTTAAAGGGAATATCTAAGCTATCAAATTATGGAAGCAAATAAAACAGCTCTAACTACATCCTTTTGCTCTCTTCACACCTTCATTCTGGATCAGTGCTTATGTAGAGACAAATTATCTCAGATTATAATTTGAATTCAAAATTCAGAGATGCGTCGAAAATTGGTTCTTCGGGCACATCCCTGTATTCCTAGCTCTCAGGTGGCTGAAGCCTGCTGATCATCCTGAATTTCAGGCCAGCCTGAGAAGCATCAGGAGTTCAAGGCCCGCCTGATCCACATGGTGAGACCTTGTCTCAACAAATGAAAAACAACACAACTCCAACAACAAACAAAAAAAACCTAAAATTGGTTCTCAAGGTAAAAATATGGAGTATGACATAAAGAATCTGTCCAGTAACTGAAAAATCTTCTCTGAATTTGCAGTAAGAACCTCTCGTTCCAGAAGGAGAAAGGTGCAGTCTGAAGCGATTGCAATGTGCTGCCTCACTTAGACTAGAGAGAGGGAACCATTGAGCTCTACTAAGTGGTACATGTAAGGCAGTGGAGGGCAGGCTTAAATATGATAGGTGTGTAAGCAAATTTTTCTAAAACATTAAAAATGGAAATTATAGATTAGAAAAATTAATTCAGGAATGAGATGCATAGCCAGTGAATAAAGTAAAATAACTTTTTGGTTTCGTGCTTTGAAAAAGACAAGTATAGTTTTAAAACAATATCTTGATGTTTTTAAAAAATGCTATTTTATCTTCAGTTCACTATGAGCTTATTTCTATTGCATTGAAGTTTTGATTGATTTGATTTTTTTCATTTTCTGAATGAATTATCCTGATTCCATGATAATATTAATTTCCTAAGTTACTGAGGCTCTAAGACATATTTTATTTTATTTTCTGGTACTAGGGATTGAACTCAGGACCTTGTGCTTACCAGGCAAGTGCTTATTCTACTGAGCTATCTCCCCAGCCCCTACTAAGAAATATTTTAAAATTAATCAAGGAGAATAATTAAGGGTTGGAGTACTTACGCCACTGCCAGCTTATGCTGCCCTATGCTGAGTACCTAGCCGGAGAAGTGACTACCACACATTGAGTAAATGAATGAATAACTTTGCATACCTTCACTGTTAAGTTTACTTCATCTTTAGAAGGAGAATCTTTTAGAAATTATTCAATTGTTATGACATCTAGACTGAAAATAGAGAGCCGAATTTTTCAAAACAGCTATTAGGTAGCTGAGTTTGCAAACTGATTCATTCTGTTAATTCCTTTCTTGTGTCCTACAAGCACATTGTCACTCTTGCACTAAGTACAAGACAATATTTTCAGTAAAGAAACTCTGTGACACTTTGTTAAGGGTGGGTAAGTAGACTGCTTATCTATATTGGCAAAGCTTGGATAGTCTTATGTAATAAAACATGTATTCAGCCTTGTGATAAAACAGATGTCACTTATATCAATAAGTGGCCCAGTCATATAAGAGTTGAGAGTTTTGTTTAATAAGTACAGTCATTTTCCACATGGAAGATCAGTCTTTGTTCCTCAGAGATTTTAGTTCCTGATTTACCGAGACTTGCCAGCCCCACTGTAATTGTTGATGATGCCCAGCTCCCTGCACAATGTTCCTTTCAGTATATTACTAAGCCATCCATTCTTTTGATCATGGTTTTGACCTGGAACTAGGAATAATTGACCTTCAATATTCTAAATATTTAGTGTTCAATTTTCTGAGCATTAAAACTTATTTTCTACTGAACATTTTCAAATATCCCCAACTCTTAACAATCCTTTGACCACCATAGAAACTATCTTCTACCAATCATACTCATTGTCCTTGGATGACTAAGGACTTTTTCTCTTCCTTACCCAGATTAAGTTTCAGGATGAATCATTATAATCATTTCTGTGCTGAAAATCTTAGTGGAAAATTACTATCATCTAACACTGACCGGCTACTCAGTTTTCTGTACTTTTAGATTCTCTGCTTAGCTATTGCATAGAATTCCCTTGAGACAGAAGACAATGTTCTAGAGAAAGGGTTCACTTTCCCTTTCTGTAAGCATTAGGCAACTGGAAGCCCAGTCACAGTGGATGGATTTCTAAATATTTAGGATTAAAATCGTGGCTCCCAACCCCTATGGAACTAAATCTTTACATGTTAACCATGTATGAAAGAATAGCTGCTTGTCCAGTGCAGCTCTTGAAACTCAGGAGGGAGGATGCTGAGGACTAGTGAAAACAAGAGTCAAGGCACAGAAAGCTGAGGTCAGGTGGAGCCCTGTGTCCTGACAGAATAAACTGCCTGGCACTTGCAGCATGTTACTTGATAGCATCAACATACGAATAAGTTCATGGAGAGTTTCAGGAGGGTAGGATCTGGGCTAGGAAGAATATCTAATCTTCAGCAGCACAACACGTCTTGGGGGGCTCATAGAGAACAAGAGGGACAGTGTATAGATTATCCAGCAGAGGTGGACTCAGCTCCCTGAGCTGTGTGTCCTTCTCACGGGGCCCTGCCACACTCGTGGAAGCAGTGGCTTTGTCCTAGCTGACATACAGACCCTTTTGCCCCCAACCAAGAATAGTTCTAAAATATGAATCAGTTCTCATATCTTGACAAACATAACTAATCTCCTCAATGGAAAGCTCATTTTCTAATTGGTTAATTCGTCAGACCTAAGATATTGATAGAATTGTGGATAACAGAAGTTGTTTTGTGTGAACTTTCTGGTTAGTTTCAAAGTGAGCCAAGCTGGTTATGAAATAGGATGGTAGCTCCATCTGGAGTTTAATTTAAGCAACGCCCATCATGTTGTTTATGCTGAAGTCTTTTAGATTAATTTACAGATATCCTAAGCATCACTCATTTGCTGCTAATAAAGGTTGTAATAAAACTAGAAGAGTTCCAGAGTCTAAAGTCTTTTTGATCTAGGTGATTTGAATATGGCCATACTGCTCCATCATATTGCCAGGCAGAATAACTTAAATAACAAAATTAAATGAATTCTGTCTGTACTCTGAGTAGTACCTACCATTTCACAAGCACATGATAACTAGAGGCCACTCCTTGTTAGATGAATACCTCTCAAAATACAATAGCCGAAAAATTATTTATGTAAGCTGATCACAGCTGCTTTATAAGTTAGACTATTATTAAGACAAGATATGCTATTGGTTTCAGTTTACTTGTTTATTGCAGGAAGAAAGTGGTACATCTTCTAATTTACTTGACACCTGTACTAGGCAGATAAGCATTACTGTGTGTTATTTTATGGGAGTGTGACTACATGTTAAGAGTTTATAAAAAACCATGAATCTATTTTACCCCAGGTCATTTTGAATTGGTTACTTCACCATTCTATTTTGATGTAGGGAATTTTGCCATAAAAAATTCAGTGTTCAAAGCTATTAAGTAATATTTTTATTAGAAAATATTCAGTCTACATGGTTATGTTATGTCCCAGGAGAAAAGAATGGGGTGCAAGTCAACTATATTATGATAGTAGAAATGCTCTGATTCACAGTTAACTTAGGTGACTCATATGTCCTGCTTCACCAGGCTAGAAAAAAAGATGCATTTCTTGTCTAGAAAGTTAAGATGATGAATTGAACTCCTGTCTTCCTAGTTCAGTGAGACATATAGCCTCACTTGATAGGGCTCTTTGTAGATTGTTGGAAGATCCTTCAGGCTTACTAAGTCCAGAAGAGCACCAACCAACTTATTAATTTAACTGGAGTATGTGTTTGCAGAGTTGAAGGCACACTGTGAACTCTTTCCTACCTATAATTTAAACATAGTTTTGTAGCTGAAACCTGAATTGTACAGAGCCAGTGAGATAGCTCAGCTATCTAAAGCACCTGCTTGGACAAGCTTAGGCAGGTGCAGGGGACCGCGGTTCGATCCCTGGCACCACATGCCTTGCCAGCCCCACCTTCGGGTTGGGTTGAACTGGCAACAAACAAACAAACAAACAAAACCTTAATTGTACAATTTAAATTGTCTTCATTTTTTCAGGGAGGAAAAATAATCTTCCCTTTATCCTTTAAAATTCTCAGCTACAGCTAATATAACAGATAGACAAAACTGATTGGCAAGATTAATAAGAGAAAAAGTAAACTAAATTTATTAGTAAGGTCATATAACATTTCGTAAGGAGGTAGCTTAGGACCCTGACTTACTGAGCATCCTCAACAAACAAAAAATACAAATTTAGAGAAGGACAAGACAAAGCAAAAGATTTTGTGTCTGTAGGATTGGCAGATTGGAGAGAGGTGAATGTATAAGAAAATATTGGAAGATAAATGGTTTGTTTTGTAAATCCTTTTGCAATGACTAGG